AGCGTGGAGGCTGCAAGGCTGCATGTTCCTGGTCGTCAGGAACAAATGGGTCCATCCATGCCAAAAAAGCTTCCCTCCATGAAGATACGGCTCTGCCTCACCAGGCCTTTTCCCCGGGCAATTCATACTTGCTGCAAACATACAGTGTAGCGCCACTTTTTTCAGGCAGACCTTGCGGTGATAGGGGCCTGAGCTCTGCCGTCCCCTACAGCTGTAGGAACCAACTGCTCCAGCCTGACCTGAAGCCCCAAGGCAGGCTGCGTGCTCTTCCATGGTGGCTCTCTGGGAGAGCCTTTGCCTCTGGCTGGAGAAGGACCCTCAGGGGTTTACTTGTAATGTTCTGTGCGTAAAAGCGGGAGCATCTTCTCAAAGGGTCTTTTCTCTCTGCCCACTCCCCCCATACCTCAGCTTGAGAAGATGGTGGCTCAAATAACTTCACGCAACAGCACGAAGTGCTGCTTAAAAGTGGGTTCAAAGGCAGAGGCAAATACGATGCCTGACCCAGAAAGTGCTGCTCAGAATGAAGCACACCCAGAGAGGCCTGCCTGCATTACTGCTGCACAACAGCCCTTCTCTGTCATGTGTGCTGCCCCACAGACCTCGTGCAGGCAGCCCTGGATTAGCTGCACAGCTACATAATTGCTGCCTTGCTTCTCATTTACTTAATGCAGATGCTCAAAGCTGTGTCATGCCTAAGCAGTGATGATGGTTTAGAAAACGAGGCTGACACTAATGCTCCCTTTTAGGCCACTTCGGCAGGTTCAGTCACTAATGTACAGCTGCAGATTTGAAGATCTGACCTAGGCTGGAGACTGACTTAGTTCCCACGTAGCCCCAGAATATGGAGGATCTTGAATAGAACCTCAGGTACGCCTCTATCCCCCTCCCTCTGCTCCTTTGGCCCAAAGGTGCAGAAGCCCAAGGAAGCAACTCAGATCTGGGCACAGATGTGACATCCTGACAGCCAACTTCTCTTCTGCACAGCAGTCTAGGACGGAGAAAGCACATGGATAGCTGGCCAGCTAACGTGTGCCTGAGCCTCCAGTGGCAGGTGACACAAATGGTTTAAGAATGCATTTCCACAGTGTCTAAACTCGTGCCTCTTAGGCTGGGTTATGGTGCAGAGACAGGTTTGTGCTTGCATTGAGGGTTTTTTCTTTTCACTTTTTTTATCCTTGCCCAATAGCAACTTCTCTGGCCTCCTCTCATGCTGCTTAACAGCGTGTGTGGCTTGGCAGATCTGCTTCCTGCTGTGCAGTGTGTTTGCCCTCTGTATGCCCACGCACAGGCTTCCCCTTTCTGCTAGTTTCGTGTGGAGGAGGCA